GATTGGTTAGTTTGGCTACTCTGCCAGGCTCAAAAGGAGACCTCCTAGAGGCAGAAGAAGTCTCTGACTGCTTGCTGAGAAACATGTGCTGCTGAGAGAAACACGCTCCTGAGAAACAGGCGCTACTGAGAAAGAGACACTGATAGACACGCACTGCTGTGAAAGAGACACTGAGAGACATGCATTGCTGAGAGAGACACGCATTGCTGGGACAGTGGCTGAGAGAGACTATTGGCTGAGATGGCGGGCTGAGAGAGACTGAGTGTTTTTCCGGAACTTGAATTGTAGCCTGGTGCTTCCCTAATAAACCCCATAATCTGTGAGTACTTTGTGACCACTGCAGTGAATTATCAAACCCAGCAGAAAGGTAGTGAGTGCTGCCGGAGGAACGGTTGGTGTCAGGGTTGGTGAAAGGGCTGGAGGGAGGCAGCATGTCTGGCCTCGCACGAATAGGCCTTGAGCTACTGATGGTGATTCTGTCTTCCTCTTGTGCAGTTAGAGGAGGTCAGGAGATGTGGCCTCCTTGCTTCTTTAGCAGGGTCTATCCTGTTTGGAGTTAGTTGGACTTCTTGAATGCATATATTCTCATCTTTTATCATACCAGGAAAATTCTCTTCCAACAAATCTTTGACAATTTATTTTGTGGTTTTATTTGTCTCTTCCTGTTCTGGAATTCCAGTTACATGTAGGTTATTCCTTTTGATGGTAGCCCACATGAATATTAGACTTTTGTCATTTTGTTTTGATCTTTTTTCTGATTGATCCATTTCCAAAGAAGTATTGAGGTATTTTTTCTTCAATCACTAATTCTGTGTTCCATTGATTCTATTCTGCTCCTTTGCCCTTTCAAAGTATTACCTATTTCTGAAAATTTAGTATTACTCTTCTGGATTTCTATCTGTCGATTTTGTGTCGTTTCTAATTTTTCATTTATTTTGTCATTTTGTTCTTGTATTTTCTTCAGAAATTGTTCTAGGGTTTTGTCTGTGTTTTCCTTAATTTTATAAGTGTTTTCCTTGATCTGTGTCTTAATCCGTTTAATGTACCTAAGTATAATTCTTTTGATTTCCTTATCAGGGAATTCCAGTGCTGCTGCTTCTTCAGGGGTGTATTCTGAATCTGTATCGTGGTCCCTTGTTTCTACTGTTTTATCTTGCTTCTTTGTGTGGGCTGTGATGGTCTCTTGTGTCAAGGACATTGTGACTTTGTTGTTTTTATATTTAATTAGTGATTTTATGTTGTTGTGATTTGCCCAATATTTTCATTTTCTTTGTGTGTGTGCTTTTTTTTTGGATGTATCTGAGTAAGCAGTTCTCCTCTATTCACAAGTTAGCAGCACTAATGCACTCATCACCTGTCTACTGGTGGGTGTGATAGAGAATGAGAGTGGCTGCATAGATCTCTGTTAACTGAAGAGCAGTTAAAGGTGAATCAGGCTCTTATTGGTAGTCTTGGGTTGTTGGTCAATTGATAACAGAGGAAATGGTGGCTCTCACTCAGTAAGTGGGGCTTCAGGAAGTCCAAGTATGATTGCATCTTATGGGCATGATTGCTGTCTCCCACTTAGACAAAAACAATATTCGAAAAACCATCATAAAAGTCAAACCAAGAGGACAAAAAAGACACACTGCATAAACGCACAGGAATAATCACCAAAAAGACAAAAAGAAAAAAAAAAAAGAGGAGAAAAGAAATAAATGACAAAATATTTAAAGAAATACTTTAGAAAGTCAAAAGAAATATGCATAGTAAAAGGAAAAAAAAATCTCCAATATCTGGACAGGGAGGAATAAGAGAACAGAGGTAGAGTAGGAGAATAATGAAAAAAAAAAAAATGGGAAAAATGCAAAAAGAAAAACAAGAAATGGGGAAAACCACAGGAAAGAAAAAGGTGGGAACTAGGAACAAGGAGGGAGCTCTTGTAGCATAGT